TTTTCATTCGCTCTCTCAATCTGCGCTCTAAAAGTTACAGTACACTCGAGTATCATTCAAGGTGTACATAAGCCGAAGTACAGGCCGTGTTTGCGTTTTGTTCCCATTGAGATGTAGCCATCGCGACCAAGATCAAAGTCACGACGTCAAAGTGCCAGGCTCTCAGCGATGCACTCCAGTCACTGGGATTCTGCAGCGGGTTTTGTTCAAAATCTCAAGTACGACAGAGAAAATAGAATTGGCAGAGCTCTCGAAGTTGATTAATAGGCGTAAGGTATGCGATGTAAGAAGGTATAACATGAAAAGAATTGAACACGCTCTGAAAAACGGAGGAAGCGTCAAAGCAGTGAAGAGGAAACTTCGGATAGGCAAAAATCTAACGTATGTACTAAGGGACAAAGAAGGCAAAATAACTACCAATAACAATAGGATAGTTAAAATAGCGGAGGAGTTTTACAGAGATCTGTACAGTAGCCGAGACAACCATGACATTAATACTATAAGAACTAGCAGTAACCCAGATGACACCCCACCAGTAATTATAGAAGTCAGAAAAGCCTTGGAGAGCATGCAAAGAGGCAAAGCTGCTGGTGAGGATCAGGTAACATCAGATCTACTGAAAGATGGAGGACAGATTGTGTTAGAAAAACTAGCCACCCTGTTTACGAGGTGTCTTCTGACGGGAAGAGTACCAGAGTCTTGGAAGAATGCTAACATCATCCTAATACATAAGAAAGGAGAGGACAGGGACTTGAAGAATTAGAGGCCGATCAGCTTGCTCTGTGTAGTATACAAGCTATTTACAAAGGCAATTGCTAACAGAGTAAAGACAACATTAGAATTCAATCAACCAAAGGAACAAGCAGGATTTCGAACAGGCTACTCAACAATCGACCACACTCATACTATCAATCAGGTAATAGAGAAATGCTCAGAATATAACCAACCACTATACATAGCCTTCATAGGTTACGAGAAGGCGTTTGATTGAGAAGAAATATCAACCGCCATGCAGACACTGCGAAATCAGGGCGTGGATGAAGTATATATAAACATCCTGGAAGAAATATACAGGGGATCAACTGCTACCGTAGTGCTTAATAAAGAAAGCAACAGAATACCAATCAAGAAGGGTGTAAGGCAGGGGGATACAATCTCCCCAATGCTATTTACCGCGTGCTTACAGGAGGTTTTCAGAAGCCTAGAATAGGAACATTGAGGGATAAGAGTTAATGGAGAGTACCTTAGTAACCTGCGCTTCGTCGATGACATTGCATTGCTGAGTAACTCAGGGGACGAATTGCAACTCATGATTACAGAGTTAGACAAGCAGAGCAGAAAGGTGGGTTCTAAAAATAATCTGCAGAAAACGAAAGTAATGTACAACAACCTCGGAAGAAAGCAATGATTCGAGATAGGTAGTAGTGCACTTCAAGTTGTAAGAGACGATGTCTACTTAGGGCAGGTAATAACCGCGGAGCCGAACCACGAAATTTAAGTAACTAGAAGAATAAGAATGAGGTGGAGCACATTTGGCAAGCACTATCAAATTACGACAGGTAAATTGCCACTATCCCTTAAGAGGAAGGTATATAACAGCTGTATCTTGCCGGTACTTAGCTACAGAGCAGAAACCTGAAGACTTACAAAGAGGGCTCAGCTTAAATTGAGGACGACGCAGCGAGCAATGGAAAGAAAAATGGTAGGTGTAACTTTAAGAGACAAGAAGAGAGCAGTGTGAATTAGGGAACAAACGTGGGTTAAGGATATCATAGTTGAAATCAAGAAGAGAAAATGGACGTGGGCCGGGCATGTAGCACGTAGACAGGATAACCGCTGGTCATTAAGGGTAACTAACTGGATTCCCAGAGAAGGGAAGTGGGTTAGGGGGAGACAGAAGGTTAGGTGGGCAGACGAGATTAAGAAGCTTGCGGGTATGAATTGGCAGCAGCAAGCGCGGAACATGGGAGAGGCCTTTGTCCTGCAGTGGACGTAGTCAGGCTGATGATGATGATGATGATGATGATGATTTTTCACCGATCTACCTTTTAGAGATAAAATTCAACAAAGCTTTCTTTCTCTCTTCCTTACTTTATTCTGTAGCTTTTTTTTCGCACGCACCATAGTTTCGTTGGACGAAGTGCCGGGTGTACAACTCCGTTAAGTTTGCATTGCGTAGTAAAATTATGGGGTTTTACGTGCTAACACCACGACGAGGTAGTCCGGATAAACACTGACCGCCTAGAATTCTATCATGTTCACCTAAATGTACGCCGATTGATGTTTTGAAATTGACTACCATCTAAATGCAGTCAAGGGAGTCGAAGTTACGTCCTTACCCGCCACGGTGTCTAAGGCACTCGGCCGCAGACTGACAGATCGCGGGACGATGGAAGCAAAAACACTCGAGGCCTGTGTGCCTAGATTTAAAGAAGCCCTGGTGGTCGATGTTTGCAGAGCATACGGCGTCTCTCGTAGTTATATGTGGTTTTGGGGCGTTAAAATTCAGCAATTATAAGTTACGTCCTTCTGCTTAGCGATGCGGCATCGTAGCCCATGGCGAATCCACGTTAAACATTAAAATTCATGTAAAATCTCAGTTGTCATATTATGCTCATAAGCCAGTGCTCATAACGTGATATACATTCTGATAAAAAGGCACTTTCAAGTCGGTCGGTCGGTGACTTGGTTGGTCAGTTTAGCAGTTTTCGGGTTTTCGGTACAGTTCCAGAGCATGTGGCTTAACGTGGCGACCTCAATACAGCAGACCTTGCAATATATTTATTAAGGTAGAGTCTGTTTCACTGTGCGGTGTTGGGGTGCGTGCGAGTCTGTGCTAGGGCCGCCGTCTGCGTCCTGTTCAACTTGTGACTGGGCAAAAGAAAGGTTCAGAGGGCTAGGTAGAGGTCCTCGGTAATGTCGTTGTAGAGTGTCATGAGGTATTTTGTGTCAATTGGCTCATAGACGATGGTCGCCTGTGCGGTTCAAGAGCTCGCGTGCCGTCTCGTTTAGGTTGCGTTGGGTTTCTGTTAACTCTCCTATGTGAACCGGGAACTATAGGATTCCGTCTTCAAATTCTACCGCCCGTAGAACTTGGATATTGCGCAGAACGCGGGCCGATCGTCGCGAGATCAATCTTTTGGCGAAATTTGTGTCCGCTTGTCTTGAGTCGCCGAAACCCGTCGTGCGGGTCTGATTGCTCTCACTGTTATTTATGCGTGTTTACGCACAAGGGTAAAGAATCACATTTATTCCAACAGAACAATTCGGCCAAGGAAACCACACTGATCATTATTAAATGGGAATCATTTCTTGGAGAACTTCAGTGACTTTGAGCGTATCTATCTATCTATCTATCTATCTATCTATCTATCTATCTATCTATCTATCTATCTATCTATCTATCTGTCTAGCCGCTTACGTTTGGGTGCTCTTGTGGTCATCCCCTTACCTTGGCGTGCACCAAAATTAGCATGCAAGGGTAAGATGGTTTGATGAATATGAAGCGCTAGTCAAGACATGAATAATGTCACAATCCCGTCGCGTACGTCGTCAAACACTTCCCGCCAGACAGTGGCACATACCCGTGGCCGGGTATGTGCCGCTGGTATGCGGGTATGTGCCACAGGTGATTGACACTTGGTATCTACCCAGGAACGACGAGAACACACATGGGCAATTTAACGGGCGAGCGTTAAGCTAGAATCGAACCCAATCATTCTGCGTGGCAATAAAGCATTTTACCACAGAGCTACGCCAGATATCGGAACTACATTTCAAATAGACGCTAATCTTCGTGAAACGTCAATAGTTGTTGCAGTGCTGACCACCCAATTTTATAAACATTACATATGTACTCCTTTATACAGCCGTCACGTCGGGTTAACGTCAATTGTGGGTAGTTGCCATGCGCTGAAGTTGATTTATGTAGCAGTGTCCGGGGCCAGCATCCTCGCGAGGATCAGCGCATCATATTGCCACGTTCCATTTCCCAAGTTTTTGTTATCGGCCCAAAACACCACACGATTCTCAGCGCAAACCGCGCCTGCAGTTTTCGAGAAGGTTCCGGACTGTAGTAGATCATTTCGATAAGATCACGCCCACTGTGCGAACGGTACAGATTGTTCTGGAACCTACGCCACCGCCAGCGATAACGCCAGAACATTCGACGGCAAGAGTATAAATGCCGACGCGCTTCGCCGCTTGTCAGTTGTTGATCGAAGGCCGACGATCCGTTCGCCGCTATCAGTCCGAGACTGCTATCTGTGCGAGACTGCTGCTGTAATTGGACTTTCCGTTTACTGGGCACAGGTTCGCCCAAATAAACAGTTAAATCCCAACACGAAGTCTCCTGTCTCCGGCCACGTCACGACCCCGTGACAATATCAGCTTCTGATGTTGCTAATACGCATGTTGCGCGAGTGCGAACAACTGGTTATATTAACATCTGCAACTCTTCGACATATGTCTGTGCGTGCAACATTTGTACATATATTTAGCGTCATTTCATGACGTGTGGCTCAATAAAAAAATTGCGACACGGTCACCTTTCCTCCGCATGTTTCGCGTAACGTCGATTCCTAGGTACGTGGGATCTGCCGAATTTTTGTAGTTTTAAATTTAGTGTAATGATTATGACATACTTTCAAAGAAATTGAAGTGAATGAAAAAGCAGCTTTTCCGTCTGTGCGATCCGAACCTTTCGTCATAACTCAATTGACGGAGCATCGGATGCGTAAGGTTGCGGGTTCGAACTCCACCGACGCAAAGCATGCTTCTTCGGCCACTTCAACTGATTTTCATATATATCGTAATTATTACATTGTATACAGTTAAAAAGAAGTAATAAAGCCTCCCATGCTTTCATTGGCCTGTTGGATCTATTCGGTTGTGTTTAGCAAAGAAAAGAACCCCTCGGAGAATTCCCCTTCTTTGCTTGCCATACAGCAAGCATTTTGTCACCGACGAAAGCACGCATGCAATAAAATTAGGAAAGGAACTACGTTGCTCCAAACATTTTATTATTACCTCGTGACAAATTTCGCTGTATTTGTACAAAGAGGTAAACCAAGTACATTTAGCCTATCATAAAACATATAATCGTCCGTAATTAAAGCATACAGGGTGGCAAGCTGAAGGTGCCTTGTTTCAATAGTTTGTTACTGTGACCATATAAGAACCATTTTGGAATGTATTTTATCAAGTTCGTTGCGCGAACCACATGGCAGAATCGCATAAAAAATATCTCCCACGCGATATGTATGTATACGAGGCACTGTCGAGTACTGAGTAGTAATCTCTGCGTGAATTCGAAATTGTGTATATATAATAACTTGGTTGACGTTGATTCTTTGGCGCAGCACGCGTTCCTGTGTTTGTTCCGTGTTCGCTTCCGCCGTGGTCGTGAGTGACGCAACGCGCGAATCTCGCGAGACCTCCGACTATTGACCGCGTCCGGCGATACAAAAGAATCTGCTCGGAACTAGCTGGGGCGAAACGCGCGCGGAGTGAATCGTGCAAAGTGAGAATATATATAGTCAGCACGCCGTCCCTGTGGCTCGGGCAAGGCATATCACAGCTCATTGTCCAATACGGGACACCCTGTCGGAGACGTCATTCACGAGGGCACTTCGCTGCTGCCAGGCGGCTGCGTCACGTCGTCCAAGTTGACGGTGACGAAGTTCGCACTATGCACGCTAGCCGTATCGGCGCAGTCCGATGAGCTGCGGGACGAAGTGAGTGACGGCGACTTTGAGCCGGGCAGTTCTGGCCGGCGGGTGCCGCCTTCTCCGGAGTCGACGGACGAGCGGCGCGGTCGCAGCACCACGGGCCCCAGCTGAGGCGCGGTGCCGTCGTCAACTCCGGCGGGTGGCTCCCACGAATGCTGCGACCCGCTGTCCTCCTTGGTCCCACTGCCCGCCTTGGTCTTCGTGCCCAGCTTGGGAAGGAGCCGACCCAGCGGCTCTTCGGCCATCAATAGCGCCAAGTGGACGCAGTAGGCGGCCAGTGTAGCCACGCCCAGCACCTGCCGAACGAAAGAGAGAACTATGCAGGGCCCGACCATTACTTAATTTATTTTCTCAATTTTCCAGCTTCGATCTCTTAGAATAGCCAACTGGGCAATATTGGGCTGCTTTAACAAAACGATTCGCAACTGAGCAGGAAATATTGCCGCGCTTATCACGATATGAGTCAGTTGATGCAGATTGCATGTTTACCAGTGTTGCAAACAAGTTTTTGGAAAAGACCCTACGGCATGGTCAAAAATACTCTACTTCACCCTCGACAACTTTTTTTATTACCCCACATTTTACCTTACACTCCAGTATAGTGTAATTTTACAGTAATAAAGTTTAAGATATTTCTATATTTATTTATTTATTTATTTCAAATACCCTCAGGGTACAAACGTACATTGAAGAGGGTAGGGGCAAACGCTGGTACATAATAACTACTTGATTATAGGTACAAAATATAGATAGAAAATATCACGGTGGCACTTAACAAATATGAGTCACAAAACAAAGGCAAAAGTAGGCGTAATTATTATTGCAGCAATACAAAAACACCTAATTATCCCGGGAGTGTTAGAATAAGAGCTTGTAGAATATACATATACTCAATACACTGATTGATTGATTGATATGGAGGGTTTAACGTCCCACAACCACCATATGTTTATGAGACACGCCGTAGTGGAGGGCTCCGGAAATGTCAACCACCTGGGGTTCTTTACCGTGCACCCAAATCTGAGCACACGAGCCATTCCCGCTTCCACCAGAAATGCAGCCGCCACAATACACTCAATAAACTGCCGAGAGATAAAAACAAAACGCGAAAAATGGTAAAACGTGATAATCGCAAAAAACATAATGCGCAAAAGTAACAGTTTTCAAAACGAAGTTTTTGGAAGCATAGCAAGAAACCTATATTACAATCAAAGGTGTAAAACATTGATGCTAATTTGAGATGAAACTCTGAAGAGCGATATTGAAGTTATTCATGTTATGCTTGTGAGTGTTGCAGGTAGGTCGTTGCAATCTCTTGTTGTTTTAGGGAAAAATGAATATGAAAAGCCAATGGTGTTACTGTGTGGAATGTTTACTTTTTTGGCGATGGTTTATGCGCGATGAAATGTATGGCGGGGGCTGAATGAATATAGAATGTAAATATACGTTGTGGTAGAATAGATGAGCACAATGAGTGCTCGAACGCGTAGGAGCGTTGCACGGCGGTCGTCTGCTCGATGCGCTGACCGCGGGTACACGAACGCATGCGAAACGCCGACACGTTAGCCCCGCATCTCGTTGCAATTCATGCCCCGCCGCGGTGGTCTAGTGGCTAACGTACTCGGCTGCTGACCCGCTGGTCGCGGGATCGGATCCCGTTTGCGGCTGCTGCACTTCCGATGGAAGCGGTAATGTTGTAGGCCCGTGTGCTCAGATTTGGGTGCATGCTAAAGAACCCCAGGTGGTCGAAATTTCCGGAGCCTCCCACTACGGTGTCTCTCATAATCATATCGTGGTTTTGGGACGTTAAACCTCACGTATTAACTACCAGTACATTTTATGAAAAAGACAGTCGAGGCAGTTCTCTGTGGTGTGATAGTGGTGGAAATTGTAGGATGTGTTTGTAACACTGGCAGTTCTTTGGTACTTGTTGAGAATGAAACGGACTGAGCGATCTTGTATTTTTTCTAGTAATTTTATATGGTTCTCATATCCGATGTCCCATACTGACGATGCATATTCAAGCTTTGGACGAATGAAAGTTGTGCACAGTAGTAGTGATAGTGATGATGGAGCTTGAAAAAACTTTCGGCGAAAGTACCCTCATGTGATATACTTCACATTACGACGTGCAAACGTGGGGTCGCACGAATTCAGTAGCAAATTCACCGATCTGAAAATTCGTTTCTTAGAGAGCCTAACAACATGAAAGACAGCAGATAGAAAGAAAAAGCGTTCCGGAATCGGTATGGGAACAGCTTTGACTCACAGACGGAGAAAGGAACTATAGAAGACCAATCCACAAGTACGCTTTAGAGCTGGTAGTGTAGGCGAAATGGTAACAAAGAGTGTTAAGTTGCACGTCAGCAAGCCAGCGAATATGTATTGGACAGCACCAATGGAAAGAAAAGTGACTGTGCGTAGAACGATTGATAGATCCCACGTACAGTGGGAATCGATGATATGCGAAACACGAATGAAGAAGGTTGAACTGTCACACAAACATCACCACAACGTTTCTAGTCGGACGTATTTTATGCCGTACATGATATCCATATCATAATTATGATGTTTGCGCCGGGAATTTGTGTTCGTCATCCATTCACGTCACGTAATACTAAATTTGGTATGTGTGAAGTTAGCTAAACAACTGCGAGCGCACTATGAGGGTAGCATGTAGTCATGTTTTACATGACACGCATGTCATGATTATCGTGTTTGTACGTGTCCTTTACCTTCGTCATCCGTTCGCGTCACGTAATACCAAATTTGGTATATGTGAAGCTAGCGTAATGGCCTGGGGCGCATCATGAGTGTAGCATGTAGTCATGTTTTACATGGCACGCATGACATGATTATCAAGTTTGGACGTCATTTACTTTCGTTGTCTGTTCGCGTCATGCATGTAATACCGAATTCGGTGTATGTGAAGCTAGCGAAAAGACTGTGAGCACATCCTGAGTGTGGCATGTAGTCATGTTCTTACGTGACACGCATGTCATGATTTCCACGTGATGGCCTGCCACTTATGTTCACCGCGCAGTCATGTCATACCATACCAATTTCGCGATATGTCTTGTGAAGGAAAACACTGCAGGAGCAGCAAGACCACGACATAAAAATTATGACATTCATGGCATACATATAATGCTTTTCATGTTATGATTAGTCACTTATGCTCTTCATACAGTCATGTTATGCCATACGATTTTTTATAGATCTTATTATCCAAATGACCTGGAGAGTTAAGCGTCATGGACGGACGGACGGACGTACGTACGTACGGACAGACAGACAGACAGACAGACAGACAGACAGACAGACAGACAGACAGACAGACAGACAGACAGACAGACAGACAGACAGACAGACAGACAGACAGACAGACAGACAGACAGACAGACAGACAGACAGACAGACAGACAGACAGACAGACAGACAGACAGACAGACAGACAGACAGACAGACAGACAGATAGATAGATAGATAGATAGATAGATAGATAGATAGATAGATAGATAGATAGATAGATAGATAGATAGATAGATAGATAGATAGATAGATAGATATGGTCAAACTCACCGAAGTTCGCTAAGAAATGCTTCGCATTTAATACCGCGTGTATGTTTCGGCACAAGCCTACGTGAAGCTGAGGGTGTTAGGGCCAACGTAAGAAAGTAAACAGGTCAGCGATAAAAAAAAAAATCATTCACGACTGGAGGATTGGAGGAGAAGTAGGCAGAGAAAAAGAACAGGAAAACTAAGGTTAATCTGCGATGAGGTGCATGAATTTAAGTTGTGCAATTACAAAGTTTTTTCATAGGATAAGAACTTTAATACAGCTGAACGAGATTATGTCGATACGTGACTAATAATGTGAACAAAATCTCGAGCTTGCTTAAGCACAGATCAATGCCCCGTTATAAAAGGGACGTTTTTTAATCGATTCATCTATGTATGCTGCCATCGAAAATAGTCGAATTGTCCTTTATTAATTCACCTGACATGATAGGAAGGCGGAGAAATTTTTTGGTTCTCCTTTTCATTCGATTTTATTGATGCCCCAGCCTCGAAAGATTTTTTCAATGTATCCCATCACTGAGGCTGTACAAACTCTAGTGTGGCTTTGCACAGCCTCAGTGATAGTATACATTGCAAGCTTTTTGCCCCTCACGTGCCTACAGGTTCCGCCCAGCTATGACTAAATGACGATTTCTTGTGATGACCTGATCATTTAGAACCACGTTGGGATGTCCCAGCTACTTCCCTACGATGTCAGGATGCCATCGCAAATTTTCGCAATCTGTGACGTCACAATGGCAACGTGAGGTGAAATTGCTATAGATCGTTCCGTCGGGCGAGGAGGACCAGACTGGCTACCAGCGCTTTCCTCCTTTCTAGAGCGTGCCGACGGCGTGGTGGGTAGAAGCGGATGTTTGGATGACTGGCGTTTTCGAAAAATTTTAGGAAGTTTTAGGTCGAACTGCAGATTTTATTCTCTCTTATTGGCGTTTTCTTCTCTCTTCCTTTTTAGAAGGCGCCGCCCACTAGGCAATGTGGTGGTGCCCACATAAAAGAGGTCTATATCAAGATTTTTAACACGAAATTGTGTTACGCCGGGCTAAACCAGGCCCTAAACAGCGTATTTCCGTCAAGACGTAGAAAAATAACACATGATCAGAAAGGAAAGAAATTATTTTCGTCAAAGGGAGTCGAACGCCTGATGCCGTAGGGCATACTAGCGCCAATAAAAAAAAAAAAAAAGAGTCGAACGCACCGCCCTTCAGTCCACGACAACATAGGCTGGCCACGCTTCTGCGCCACGGCCATATACTCTGGTAGCTTTACGAACGCACCTTTTACATCAAACACTGTCTTTTCCCAGTACTCTTGGTAAAGTGAAGTAAAGCACGACGACCATGACATCCGCAATTAGTTCTTCAACGTGTCGCTTTTACGCGTCCGTCCCATTCCGGTGGCGTGCTTCCAATAGAAGTCCAATTTTGTCAATGCATGGACACCCATACGTGACTGCCATAGAGGAATGCTGCATGGACACCTGACTGCCATGGAGGAATGCTGGCAGTAACTCCGCTTTCTCCCTTTACGCTCGCCTGCGAAAAATCGCGGCCGGCCGGCCAACAGAGCAGACAGGACGCATGATGCGTTTCTCTCTAGTCGGGCAATGGTGTTCAATACTCTAACACGCCGCAACTAGGCGCCTAAGTTCAGTGTCCTTTCAGAGAGGGCTCTCCTGGCTGTCCCACTGGTCTCTCTGATTCTACTCCCACCGATAACTACTACAGCTACTACAAGCCCCTAAGACCACAGTGAACGTTGTCGTCGGAATGTAGATGTATCACTAAGCGTCAACGTGGGTGAGCTCAAGTTAAGTGGTGTGATATCTGTCAAACACCAATAGGCATTTTGTAAGCTCCCCTATATCATTGTACGATAAACATATAAATACTTCTGTAAGGACAGGTTTCTCTTTCGTGTTATACCTATTCCTATGACGGAGGGATAAAAATGTGCATTTCTTTGCAAAATTTGGCGAGTTTGACCATATCTATCTATATCTATCTATATCTATCTATATCTATCTATGTCTATCTATCTATATCTATATCTATATCTATCTATCTATATCTATATCTATCTATCTATATCTATCTATCTATATCTATATATATCTATCTATATATCTGTCTCTGTCTGTCTGTCTGTCTGTGTCTGTCTGTCTGTCTGTCCGTCCGTCCGTCCGTCCGTCCGTCCGTCCGTCCGTCCGTCCGTCCGTCTGTCTGTCTGTCTGTCTGTCTGTCTGTCTGTCTGTCTGTCTGTCTGTCTGTCAATCCACCTACGACTTAAGCTCTGCCGGCCGTTTCGATAACGGGATCTATACCAAGATTTGTATGACATAACATGGGTGTATGACGAACATAAGTGAGTAATCATAACATGAAAATCATGACATGTATGCCATGAATGTCATAATTTGCATTCATAGTTTTGCTGCTCTTGTGGTGGTTTCATTCACGTGACACATTGTAAAACTGATATGGTATGAAATGACTGCACGGCGAACATAAGTGACAGGCCCTAACGTGGAAATCATGACAGGGATGTCATAGAATTCATGGCTACACGCCATACTCGTGGTGCACTTGCGGTCATTTCGTGGGCTTCACAGATAGCAAATTTGGTAATACCTGACGTGAATAGATGACGAAGGTCTATAACTGGTGCAAACATGAACATCATGACATGCGTGTCATGTAAAACATGACAACATGCTACTCTCATAGTGTGCTCAGAGCCATTTCGCTAGCTTCACATATAATAAATTTGGCACTACGTGACGTGAATGAACGACGAAGGTAAATGACAAAATGACACGTCCAAACATGATAATATTATGCGTGTCATGTAAAACATGGCTACATGCTACGCTGATAGCACACTCACTGCCTTTCTGCTAGCTTAACGTATACCAAATTTGGTAATAATTGACTTGAATTAAAGATGAAGGTAAGTGACACATCCAAACATGATAATCATGACATGCTTGGCATGTAATACATCACTACAGCAGATGCATACCACCTTATATGGACATGTAAAGGGTTGCAGCCGGAACACTCCCGTCACCTCCTTCAAGCCGGCCTTCGCTACAGCGACACAGCCAGTTACAACCGCTGGATACCTGACAACACATTCCACAAGACACTACTTCACTTCATACACAACACCGGCCTAACGGCGCACCAAACACACTCGCAAAAATTATGCCTTAAAGACAAGTCTTTGTCGCAATTAAAAAAAAAAGACTATATGCTATGCTCATAGCGTGCTGGCAGCCGTTTCGTTAGCTTCACATATACCAAATTTAATATTGGGTTACTTGAATGGACGGCGAACACAAATGCCAGGCGCAAACATGATAATCATTCGATGGAAGTCGTGTACGACATAACATATCAACCTTCCTCATTTGTGCTTCGCATATAATCGATTCCCACTGTACATGGGACCTGCCATTCGCCCCCCCCCCCCTTTTTTTGCATCACTCGCCTTGATATCGATGCTCACTTATTGTGTTTAAGGAAGCACTTAAGGTTTTCTTTTAGCTTATCAACTGGAACCAACTACTATAGGAAAACTTAAATGCCTCTCCAGGGAAGGAACGAATATGGGAGGTGATGGAAAAAATAAAAAAAACAACACCTGAGAAAACAACAACAACAATGGTAGCATGGGGTAGTTTAAAATCTTTCGTCTCTGCCCTATGCTGGTGACATGTGTGAATGAAGACACTTCCATTTTTATTCAATAAAAGTTTTTGGATCTCTTTGAGACAGTAACCCTCGGAAATGTCGCGCGGATCGTTTATATATTTAGCTGATCGTCAGTTTCTAATTCCTCAAGCTGATTTGTGGGGTCATTGACAGGGTACCATGCTCGCGAGCATAAGCGCTACATATCAACTTACTGCGTCTGGTCTTGCTAATAGTCATGTTGCTGTTGGCGTCGTGAAAACATATGCGACTGTACAACATTTGTAGATATCGTCAACTTCATTTTGTAGCACTTTGCCCAATAAAAATTCTAACGCAATCACATTTGTATCCCCATAACATCAATTCCCAAGGTACGTGGAATCTGCACCCCCCTTGTTTTTAACACGAAAGTGTTTTATGCTAGGGTCCACCACGGCTTCGCTGACGCATTTCCCGTCACGGATATTACGTTCAAAGTATATATTTACAGATTGCAAAGAAAAAAAAACGAGAAGGAAAAGTTCCGCAGAGGGGCGTCGAATGCTAACCACTATCACAAAGTGACCTTCTAGCACTAGCTAAGGGCAAGCCTTCTATATACACACCATGCACCACTGGCGGTGCTCAGAGCTCAGCAACTTCAGCACGTTTTTGTCATCAGTAGCGAGATGGCACGACAGGCGTTCGTTGGGCGCGCGCTCCAAAGGTCGTTCGTGCCACGCCAGCCCGCAGGTCACTATGCACGCGCGCCTCCACATAGCGTGGTCAAAGTGCCTATAGATCCTTTCGCTGTTTACAAACACAGGCCCTTGATGACAACCGGTTCCGTACACCGCTGTGCTTTAACAGCATCGGTGGGTAAGAAGAGCGTTAACAAATAGCCAGCTAATTTTCTACACTTTTCTTCTCTAATTTGACAAAATATACTCAAATACGTGTTCTTTTGAGCTACACGAAAGTTTTAAAAGATTCCCTTGAATATCACGCACGCTCTTTTTATCTGAAAAACTAATAGGAGACTTTCCTTGCCCCTGAAGAAACGTGAAAGCCTCCTTTCAGTTTCGACTTTAGGAGTTGGTAACTGAGGTGATCGAAAGTTTGTTTTCTTTGGGGGGAGGGGGGGGGGGCCAACGCTTGCAATTATTAAACTGTCTATATATGTTCTCTACCGGGGTGGCTCTCTCGCACGCGAGCTTATCTCGGGATTCATGCGCTTTGTACCTCTCGTGCTTCCACCACAATTTTTTTAAAAGTAAAGTGGTTAAAAGAGCCCGAAGGTCACTTCGCTCGCTGCTGCGGCCTCGTTTACGAAAGGAGCGCGCTTCTTAAACACGAGAAATAATTGCGACAGTTGTTCGCGCTCGTCCTGTGTATACCTGTGCGTTCATTTCGTGTGTCTTTCTTTGTGTTCGAGCAGCGTGCTTCAAGTGCCGAGCTGTGCTAGTTGTTTGCCCGCGCTCGTCATGCGTATGCTCCTTTCGTGGGTGCTTTCTGCTTGAGGCGTGCTCGGAGTGTTTCGAGCTCTTTGTCGTTCTTCGCATGACATTGCACTCTGTTGCTGTGTGATTAATTCCTTTGCCGTTGTGGTGAAACAATGCTCAATGGGCGCTCAACGACCTCTGCGAGGACACGTTTCACTTTCGTGTTATACCGATTTCCAAAAAGAAGGATCCGCCAATTTTTTTCTTACTTCAAGATGGGGTTAGGTTTAGCATAGAGTTTCCTAAAATTAACTAGAGGGCACTCTGGCGCTGCTATCGTTCAGCGACCATAGGAATGATGGGTAGCACACACATTTGCTTAGTCTTCGTATTTGCCGGCGCAAATTGTATATGCGGCTTCGTTTATTGCTGGTTACGGTTTCGTTTTGAAAGAAAGATTAAACCCTTTTGAACTTCGTGAGCCAATTTGGAAAGTAAGTCTAAAAGAATAGAATGGTGAAGCGCAACCACTGAACATTTGCTAATACTTGTTTCGTAAGAAAACAGCTCCAACCCACACAAACACACACGGAGCCAAAAGCAGGCCAGAAGTACGAATACTAGACAAATATGTGTACTACCCATTATTCCCATGCTCGCTGAAGCGCCGTGCGTTGCAGTTCCTGTAGACACTAGCGCCAGAGTTCCCTCTAGTGTATATTGGGGAACTCTGTGGTGTTTAAGGCACAACATCTTGTCTCGCTTGCAAGGCGCGTTTGACTAGATAAAGTAACAATGGCACGCACCTGTTGGTCCGGCGATGGTACCGCATATCTATCACATGTGCCGTTACTATGGCAACTTACGTGGTTGCCTGCAACATCGGCGTTCGCAGCACGTCGAGTTTGTTTACGTGCTTTAGCAGTGGCATACGCTTCCAAATTTAGTTTCTAACATTACATAGCTGCGTTTGCTCACTGGGAAATTCATATTTTCCGCGAAGTTTTGCTGGCTACAGCAACGTATTTTGTCTTGCGTCATCCCGCCGATAAGTATCCGCTGCGGTCAGCGCATCAATGGGCGCACGGCGTTGTTACTACATCTGATCGATTGCGTTTCGCGAATGTCCTGACGTAGTGACCTAATCTTACACCATAGTTTGAAATTAGTGCCTGCGTGCCTGGATCCCTGGATTGGCTGATCATGCGAACTACAGCTAGGTGGCTAATGTGGCCTCTATTTCTCGATGAAAGTAGCGTAACTGAAAAAAAAATTTAGGCTGGTTGGGCATTTTGGCGCAGCGTGGCACAATTTCGACAAATTGGTTGGCTTTGGCGCAGCTCGGTGCAAAAATGGTGAACGGTATCAAATTGGCGCTATTGGCCTATAGCTTTTGCATCTCTGCGCCCTACTAACTCACGCAGGCCAAGAAATTCTGAAATTACTCTACAAGTAGGGTAATTATCTTACGGTTATCAACACTGATACTCACAGCAGCACATTGGTATCCGAGACGGTTCCCATGAAAAGCGATGATGAAGGCATCCGCGAAGAAGTACAAAATGACTGTTGTAATCAGGTACAGACGTTCCTGCGGGAAGGGAAATCGCACAAAGTGAATACGTGCAAAATAAAGCCGCTCTAGTGAAGGGTTAAGTAATACATTGAACCTGTATGTCTGATCCATCGAGCTCTTAAAATAGCGGTAGGTTCCCCTATCCCCACACAGTCGTTGAAATTTGAATGGACAATACTCACGGAGAACAGAAAAAAGAAAGAAAATTCAGGGGCACGACACCGAAAACAATTTCTCTTGCACTAGTAAATTAACGCGTGATGAAAGCAAAGGCACCAATTTTTCGGGAATGGAAGCTCGGTAAGCCAGAACGCGCGCAAAATAAAAATAAGGTGGCAAAACCGGCTCGAAGTTCCGAATCTCGCCTCGACATAATGGATCTAAAACCCTTTGGGCTTTACATAGATTTAGCGGTGTCTGCATGTCAAGGTCATTACTTTTTATAAGTAAATTATATTACATGCATTGTGTAATCTGACGTGGGGTCATAAAATGGCAAGTTTCTGAGAATTTGTTGAGGCAGCGTCACAGAAGCACGAAAAAGAGTGTGAAATCAGCGCCGTGACCACGCATGCCAACTCATAGCTATATATGTGCTACTGAACAATTCACGGTTGCGGCGTCAACTTCAGAAAGAAAACCTTGTCCTTCAATTTGTATTATAATGATGAACCGATTATGACAAAATTAACGACAATACGGCTGTTACTTAAAAGTGGTCGGAGGTACACGCATCCCTCTGTCCCGCTGTAATCTTAGTGGGGCCGATCGCGCATGAGCCACCCGTGCCTAACCTTCAATGTATATGTATATAATGCGGAGGATGCATAGGCTGGACACGCAGATAGAGTCATTGGCTTCGTGCGCACTCTTGTGTCTCTTACGTTGAACGTATTGTTACTCGCCGAGTTTCGGAGGCGCGCTGAAACAAGAGGCAATGCAAAGTGTTTGCATCTCACTAGCACTGTCGCACTATAACTATAGAACAAAATCTACTCACGTGTGCCTGTGCTCACATGGTACCATGTTCATTCATTTATTCAGTAAGAGTGTATATTGCAGTATGTATATATGGCCGATATTGATTGATTGATTGACTTATTGATCGATTGTCGATAGATAGGGGGGGGGGGTTTAACGCCCCAAAACTACCATATGATTATGAGAGACGCCGTTATGGAGTGTTCCGGGAATTTCAACGAACTGAGGTTTTTCAACGTGCACGAAAATTGGAGCACATGGGCCTACAGCATTTCCGCCTCCATCGGAAGTGCAGCCGCCGCAGCCGGGATTCGATCCCGCGACTTGCGGTATATACGGCCGATAGAACTACGAAATTCACTTCGTGTAGTTGTGGCCGCCATTGTTATTGCCATCCCTGAGGCTCGCCTTTTGTGCGAAACTGCAGCTTCTCTCCTCTAAGGCAAAATGTTTCATGCCTTCACGTGCCGTGGTCTATGGTGCGGCAAGTGCGTTCAGGAATGATATCGGCTGTGAAATTTGGTTTTAAATTAGATCAATTATTACCCGAATGATACCAACATATCAATTCTGGCCACTACTCACCACAAACGGCCGATGTCTAACCGGCACCGGCACCCTGTGCGCAACGCCCAGCATGCGTGCAGCGAAGATGGCGGCCGTTACGAGCACGCTGGCGAAGCTGACGATGGCGAAGAAGCGGTACGAGTGCACGCAGCCGGGAGGCGCACAGTTGAACGCGCCGCGGCACTCGGCCACAGACTCAACGCAGATGAAGGCCACCAGGCCCACCACCTGTAGAAATAAGGAAACGAATCAGGTCAACCTGACATGAAACACAAAGTGGAGAGCGCACGCAAATGATCGTCACGTGCACTGTTTGGGTGCACGTTAAAAACGCGTGCACGTTAAAAAACAGGTGCACATTTGGGTGCACGTTAAAAAACCCCAGGGGCTCGAAATTTTTGGAGCCCTCCACTACGGCGTTTCTCATAATCATATGGTGGTTTTGGGACGTTAAGCCCCGCATATCAATCAAATCAATCAACTTTACGAGGTGGATGAAAATATGCCGTCCATGATTTCCATGTCTTGATTATCACGTTTGTGCCTGGAATTTGTGCTCGTCGTCCATTTAAGTCACGTAATGCCAAATTTGGTATATGTGAAGATAGCGAAACAGCCGCGAGCACGCTATAAGCATAGCATGTGGTCATGTTTTACATGAAATTCATGTTATGATTATCATGTTTGGGCGTCTCATTTATCTTCGTCGTCTATTCACGTCACGTAATACAAAGCTTCGTATATATATGAAGCTGGTGAAACGACCACGAGCGCGTCATGAGCATGGCATCTAGTCATGTTCTTACATGACACGCATACATGATTTGCACGTGAGGGCCGGTCATTTATGTTCGCCATGCAGTCCTGTCATACCACACAAGTTTCGCGATATGTCATGTGAACGAAACCACCGTAGGAGCAGCAAGATCTTGACATGTCAATCATGACAACTGACATACATGCGATGATTTTCATGTTATGAATATACTCACGGACGTTCGTAATACGGTAGTGTTATGCCACACCAATTTTCGTATATATTGTATCACCCAAACGACCATGAGAGCTACAAGTCGTAGGCGGATAGATAGATAGATAGATAGATATATAGATAGATAGATAGATAGATAGATAGATAGATAGATAGATAGATAGATAGATAGATAGATAGATAGATAGATAGATAGATAGATAGATAGATAGATAGATAGATAGATAGATAGATAGATAGATAGATAGATAGATAGACTTCGCAACACAAATATAAACCTGACCGACACACAGGCACACTGCGCCTGTGTTTTTTTTTATATGTGGGGTTTAACAACCCAAAACCACCATATGATTATGAGAGACGCCGTAGTGGAGGGCTCCGGAGATTTCGACCACCTGGGGTTCTTTAACGTGCACCCAAATCTGACTGCGCCTGTGTTTAGCGTGTGTGTACGTGTGTACACATACGTGTGTACACATACGTGTGTAGCGCATTTATCCCCTTTTTTGTTAATATTGTACTACCAAGCTTCATACAACCTCTTAGTTGTTCGGATGAATATTTTTTCTTTTAAAACAAAATCTACGCTTTTGAAACTTTCTGTATGTTTTACTGATAAATAATACTATGCAACATTATTTAAGCTATATTATTACTTAAACCGCTACATTGCCAAAATTAGGCCACAATATTGATCAAAATGCTATTTTCCCCGATTTTGTCACAATATTCTGACAATATTTTACTTTATTCACTCCCGAAATGTGTATTCATATAATATAGAAACAAATACAACAGAAAATGTATATACATCACTGACAAAAAATCGAGCTTTTTAAAAAAAACACAAAACATGCAACATATTACAATTTTTCGGCAAGGTGAAAAATAAAGAATGTTGAAACACAAAAAAAATTAATTATCATAGTCAAGAAAGTGCTGCGCATCGAGATTAAGGGAAAAAAAATTCGTAGTATTTCCTCTGACCAGTAAAAATATATGAAATATTTAGCGCGACACGGTTTCACTTAGTTGCCTAGTGTTAGAAGCGCCTTTTGGGCAATATAATATTTTTGTTAAATATAACGCTTCAATAACGACGACTTCTCACATTCGCATATACCTCCGCAATTTTCTCAGCATGATCGCAAATGCTCAAAAAAAATTTATATATATATATATATATATATATATATATACATACGAAAGTTTTTTGACTACGTCTACGTCTACATCAGGGGGCAAAGGCCTCCTCTCTCTTGTGTTCCGCCAGGTCGTGAGGTTTATAGCTGCCACGTTATACCTGCACACTTCTTAATCTCATCTGCCCACCTAATTTTCTGTCTCCCTCTCACTCGTCTGCCTTTTCTCGGAACCCAGTCAGCCATCCTTAATGACCATCAGTTATTTTGCCTACGCGCTGTCGGCGGATGTCCATTTCTTCTTCGTTTCAACTATGATATCCTTAACATTAATTTGTTCCCTGACCCGCTCTGCTCTCTTATTGAGAGAGAAAGCTATAAAAAAGAATGCTTGTAAATATATTATATATGAAACAACGTCCCAGACCCCCAAGAATATTTATTGTCTCGAGTATGTGCCCCACAATCCAAACTGGAGTGGTGACGATGAGTATGAGCAGATGAGAAGATGGAGCCCATAAATAATACTCACAATATATATTTATGTATATTATTAGAAAAACATGAAAAAACCAGCACAGGACCCGGACGCAAAGGTACAAAAGAGTATATCAAGCACGTAGAAAAAATTGTTCCGGAAACAAAACAAAAAAACTGACGCTTCTGCCGCGGGAACGACCTTCGTCAAAAGGATGCACAGATGCTACAGTAGCGTAGTATAAGACAGCCAATGACGAAGTATAGCACTGTTACTGGCTGACAAGAGATTGTCAGCAGCACGTGGGGAAACAATACGCGTGATTGGACAAGAAAACATTTTCGCACGAGCACTTACACCGGAAAACGGAGTGAAATATCGACTTCGCAATACATGTGTTATCGCCACAAACAATAACAAGTCACAGGTTACATTGTGGACAAGTTATTGATCAACATTAGCGCGTGCACGTGTGACGGGGCCTCACTTTTTGTTCTGCGACTGGCGGATATTATGATTTTCAATTGGCTAAGGAAGAAGCCAGGTGACGCCGAGTTAACTGGCGTCTATTGTGGACCCAATAAAGTTATCTCACTCCCTCACGTACTATGCGCTTAGGAGAATTTTTCCACAACCATCCGTCCACTCGCGACAAGCAGCAAGTTATGCTCAGCAACAACCGTTGGACCCCTCCAGCTCAACGTGACAAATACCTAGACACATGTACATTGAACCCGTCCAACGCGATGCCCTCAAAAGCTATACGAAAAGCAAAAAGTCGTTTAAATTAAATATTTCATTTGCGGAAAGAAAACCTATTGCGTCACTGGTTAAACGCAGTGATATCGTGATAAAGCCAGCCGACAAAGGTGGTGCCGTTGCATTTATGAGCAAAACAGATTATATGAGCGAAGCGTATCGACAGCTTAACAGTTCGATTTTTTTAATGAAAACCTAGACTATGATCTCACTAAAGGGTTTAAAGCAGTTGTACGAGTAAGCATCAATGCTCTCGTAAAAGCAAATCAATTAGCCGATAAGGCAGTACGTTCCCTCGTACCACTTAGTCCAGTCCCTGGGATGTTCTATTTGCTGCCTAAAATACATGAAGCAAACTGTTCAGGACGCCCCATTGTTTTGAGTATTGGCACTGTAACGGAGCAACTTTCACTCTACGTGGATGAAATAATCAGTAGTTTTCCATGTAAACTCACGTCCTATCTGAAAGACACCAACCGTTTTTTTGTTGGACATTGATGACACCTTGTGATACCAGATACTTCGCCACTCGTGGCTTTAGATGTGATTGTACTGTATACCAATATACCCCATAACGATGGCATTCAGGCAGTGGTTCATGTGTACGATGGATCGTGTAATCGAAAACCCATTCGAAGGGACACACCAGGTAACTTATTCAAATTTATCTTGCAGCATAACAATTTTGAATTTGATGGCTCTCACTATCTTCAAGTAAGCAAAACATCAATGGGCACTTGCATTGGACCTAATTACGCCAGTTTTTTCATGTCCGTTCTGGAAGATAACTTATTTATAAAATCAAGTCTTAAAGCCTCATTATTATAAGCGATTCAACGATGAAATTGTTTGTTATCTGGCCTCATGGGGCAAGTGAACTATTATATTTTATAGCTGATTTCATCACTGTTGCCCTGCCGTGGTGGTCTAGTGGCTAAGGTACTCCGCTACTGACCTTCAAGTAATGGGATGGAATTCCGGCTACGGCGGCTGCATTTCCAATGAAGGTCATAATGCTTCTCAGATTTGGGTGCACGTTGAAGAATTGATTGATTGATTGATATGTGGGGTTTAACGTCCCAAAACCATTATATGATTATGAGAGACGCCGTAGTGGAGGGCTCCGGAAATGTAGACCACCTGGGGTTCTTTAACGTGCACCCAAATCTGAGCACACAAGCCTACAACATTTCCGCCTCCATCGGAAATGCAGCCGCCGCAGCCGGGATTCGAACCCGCGCCCTGCGGGTCAGCAGCCGAGTACCTTAGCCACTAGACCACCGCGGCGGGGCGTGCACGTTGAAGAACCCCAGGCGGTCAAAATTTCCGGAGCTCTCCACTACGGCGTCTCTCATAATCATATGGCGGTTTTCAGACGTTAAATCCTACATACCAATATTCGATTTCAACACTGTTCACCAATCTATTTCGTTTTCTTCCGAATACTCTCTCTATACCATCAACTTTCTTGACGTCACATTTTCAATATATCATGTACAATCTAACTACTCAGCTTTACAGGAAACCTACCGACAGGCATCGTTATCTTTCCTTTAAAAGTTCGCATGTAAACCAGTATACCTTATATTAAAGCACTCCTCTTCAAGAGAATTTGCTCGGAACAGTCAGACTTTCATGAAAACTGTGAACAACTCCGCGAAGATTTAATTCAGCAGGAATACCCACCTCGCATTGTTGAGGAAGCTGTTAAAAAAGCCGATGCACATAATCGCAATGATTTATTCGACGCTAAAAAGCGATAATCAATTCAGGCACTAAGCAATCTGGTCCTAACACACTCAGCATCGGTGCCAAACGTTTCTTCAATTCTTAAATAGCTTTCGATAGAGGCCGAAATGCTGTAGGCTCGTGTCCTCAGTTAAACAACCCCCTGTGGTCGAAGTTTCCAGAGCCCTCCACTACGGCGTCTCTCATAATCATATGGTGGTTTTGGGACGTTAAGCCCCGCATATATATCAATCAGTCAATTCTTAAAAATACTTTCCACATTTCAGTGCAGAAAACTAATCTTAAAGTATTCTTTCTAGTGCCACCTCGGGTAGCCTTTAGGTAGTCTCGTAATCTGCATGACATCCTGACTTCATCTCAAACAAGTGTTTCCGTTAATGTCGGTTGTCGACTTCACAAGAAGCCGCGGTTTGCGCGCATATGACGACGTAACACATCGCTAGAAGCACTGCTTCCGATTTCTCCTATAAGATGAAAGGTATAGTTTCACGTGTGACACGCATCTATTTGCTCTAATTTTCCGTCTGCAAATTACAGTATTGGACAAACCTAAACGCCCATATTATACTGATTTAACAACCACAAGTGTCATGCTGCCAGCATTCCCAACATTCCGATATAAAAAACGTGCAAATTCCGGGCCATTCATTTGATAACAATTTACAGCTGCAATCCCTCGATCTTGTTTCTATTCCCAGCACGAAATAGAGCTTCGAGAAATATATGTAGCCCATAAATTTGAAGCTGTTACTTGTGGTATTATTGAAAGTGCTGGCAAACTTTCCTTTCTGCCCATTTAGTTGCTTTTGACCTTCTCCGCTGTTTTTGCAGCTACTCTTTCACGCAGATAAATTAGTTCCCTATTTCATTGTCGGATCATGACAGGATGTTGTGCACTCGCTGATGTTGATCGATATCTGCTCACCATTGAGCCTGAAGTGTTATTGTTTGTGGCGATGACACATGTATTGCGGCGTCAATATTTCACTCCGTTTTCCGGTGTAAGTGCTCATGCGCGAATCATTTTGTTGTCCAATCACGCGTATTGTTTCCCTGCGTGCTTCTGACAATCTCTTGTCAGCCAGTAACAGTGCTTTTTACTACGTCATTGCTTGTCTTATATCACGCTACTGCAGTAGAGCTTCAGAGCCGGCCGAGCAGTCCCCACTGAAGAAGGAATTGATTGATTGATTGATTGATTGATTGATATGTGGGGTTTAACGTCCCAAAACCACCATATGATTATGAGAGATGCCGTAGTGGAGGGCTCCGGAAATTTCGACCACCTGGGGTTCTTTAACGTGCACCCAAATCTGAGCACACGGGCCTACACCATTTCCGCCTCCATCGGAAATGCAGCCGCCGCAGCCGGGATTTGAACCCGCGACCTGCGGGTCAGTAGCCGAGTACCTTAGCCACTAGACCACCGCGGCGGGGCAACCGAAGAAGGGACTGAATCGGTCCCGAAACGTCGGGTCAGTGCACAGTCTTTAACATCTATCGTTGGACTATAACTTGGCTGGAGAGTTTATTATTAGTATGAAAGCTCACCCAGCCAGACATATATCTGTCGAGAATGCTCACCTTCACCTGTAGTAGTGTGAGTGCATCACCTCGACGAAGGCCGGTACCCCGCGGCCTAAACGTCAGTATTCTTTCTGGGACTATTCTTTCGAATATATATATATATATATATATATATATATATATATATATATATATATATATATATATATATATATATATATATATATATATATATATATATATATATATTGTACCGGAACATAGTGGTGCCAGTTCTGTGCCAGCGTGAAAGAAGACGTTGACGTCCCTGTGGCTCGTGCTTGCCGGGTTCTTGCCTGTACCAGCTTGTTGCGGCTAACGCTTCTTGAATAAATAACAAGTGTTTTTACGTGAAATCACTCGTTGCATTTGGTGGAAACGTGCTGGGTAACATCCTGGAGCTCCGCAGCCGTAAGCTACCATCTAATTCTGCAATGACCGAGCGCGTCAATTCCCCACAAGCATCTTCCACGCTGCCGCCTGTCATGTGCCCTGGTGTACCTCGTCTGCGTGACCCACCAGTCTACAGCGGCACTGAAGATCAAGATGTCGAGGACTGGCTGGCAGAGTACGTTGTCGCCTATGCCAGCCGTACCATAACGAAGACAGAGTCCAACTTTTCCGTCACAGAAAAGGAGTGCTTGGTTGTCATTTGGGCAATAGGAAATTTCGCACTTATCTTTACGGACGCCAGTTTGATGTCACAGATCACCATGCCTTATGCTGGCTAGCGTCCATGAAAGACCCTACTGGCCGCCTCGCTCGTTGGGCTTTACGCCTTCAGGAATACGACATCCGTGTTTTTTATCGCTCAGGATGCAGACATTCAGACGCCGATGCCCTATCCCGTTCTCCGCTGCCTCCTGATCTTGCCTGCTTACCAACTGCCATCTGCGATTCGTCATCGTTGAGCATCACCGACATTCCATCCGATGCAGAGCAAGGATCCCTGGATCAATTTTCTGCTCGACGTCCTCTCTCACAGTTTGTCATAATCGACTTCATGCTCCCTCTCTCATCAACGTCTTCTTTCACGCTGGCACAGAGCTGGCGCCAATATATGTTGCGGTAGAAATACCATGCTTTCGTCGAAATACCATGGCCCCTACCATGTGGTGCGACAAACATTTCCTGTCAACTATGAAGTTGAGCCCATTGATCCACCTTCGGACCAATGCTGCCGTGGGCGTGAAACAGTACACGTATCACGCCTCAAACCGTGCTATGACCCCCTTGTCGTGTCATTTCCCTACGTCGCCAGGTTGGCTCCTTTCTGCGCGGGGAGTAATTGTACCGAAGCATAGTGGCGCCAGCTCTGTGCCAGCGTGAAAGAAGACGTTGACGTCCATGTGGCTTGTGCTTGCCGGGTTCTTGCTTGGTTCTTGGCCGATCCCCCTTTGTGGGTGTGAGCCAGAGTATCAAAGATCATCATCATCATCATCATGAACCAGCTTGTTGCGGCTAACGCTTCTTAATAATAAGAAGTGTTTATACGTCATCTCGCTCGTTGCAATATATATATATATATATATATATATATATATATATACAAGACACATTTTGGTCATGAAATGTCTACTATACTGGTGCTCGCTTTTGCATTGGAAAAATCATGTGACCGCGTGACCAAGATTGTAAAACGGACGGCTTCCACATGTTGTTCAACATAAAATCCGTGGACTGATTGAACCAAGTTGCATCTGGCACGTTTTCTTGTCACCTACCATTTCGATAATCTGGAAGACGCCATCTCTGGACTTGGCGTAGCCGACGTTAGCTTGAATATTTGTCGCGCCGTCCTCTTCGGATGGCTTTCCCATGTCTGAAATAAACAAAACACAACACTCAATAAAGTTCTGCAACTTCTCGGTGTGCTGCACACGGATGGTAAGCACCGTTATTTACTATAGACACCGCGTTAGGTGGCATGAATATTATAGGATACGTAATATGCAGATCGCGATTGAACACGCGAAAATAACGCTGTAACTGATGCAGAGCAAGTTCTGTTTTATCGTACGCGTTGTAGTCACGAGAGGTGCTTATCCGTTGAAAAGCTACATTGATAACGCCAATAACAGCGGCGCTGCAAATGACTGCGCCACCACCAGCCCCCATCATGGCGTTCACACACTTCTACGGAACAGACTCGGATCATGTTTAATGGAAGATACGGTTTCTGGGAAAGCCAGTGAATAGGCAGGCAAGGTGAGACTGTGGAACTGACGCTGTTAATTAAGCACCCTCACTATCTCTTCCCACCTTTATCTCTCACAGAGATGAAGCATTATCAAGGCGGTGATATAGGCTTGCTCCTCCGAGTGATAGCCAAGGAAGTTCAAAATATGTTTATAGTGGCTTTCTTCTGAGGCCAAATCGTTTGTGTGGGATTTCAGAGAAATTATTTCTAGAAAAAAGTCCTCAGCTCCATCTACGCCTGGTAAGTTAGCTTTGTATGCAGTTCTCCAAGAATTTCGTGGCATGATTTAAGAAGATATATCACGTATTAAACTTGCCTTGGCACACATTCGGACGCATGGCGTTCAGTGGCTGCTATAATAATAATAATAATAATAATAATAATAATAATAATAATAATAATAATAATAATAATAATAATAATAATAATAATAATAATAATAATAATAATAATAATAATAATAATAATAATAATAATAATAATAATTGGAGTTTGACGTCCCAAAACCACGATATCATTATGAGAGATGCCGTAGTGGAGGGCTCCGAAATTTCGACCATCTGGTGTTCTTTAAAGTGCACTGACACCGCGCAGTACACGGGCCGTTTCGCCTCCGCTGAATTGCAACCGCCGCGGCCGGAATCGAACCCATGACCTTTGCGTCAGCAGCCGAGAACCCTAACCACTACACGTTCTGTTGCTATGGATGAACTCTATCGGGAGACGTTCCGGGTCAAGAAACTGCTGATCCTGTTAATGCAATACCACCGCGTGCAGCGTCACGTAATAAGAAATATCGCCTGCACCCATTCCATAGCTTCACGGAAGGCACTGAACTGCGCCAGGTTGAACGATGTATAAGAAGATATGTATCTACAGTGCTAAAGTTATACAATCTATATTAACCTTCCTGTTGATGTGACATATATTCCCAGCTTCCACGTTTCCTTCAAAATATTCAAGAACACTAACTCCAATGTCCCCCTTTTATTGTTAGTTTATTACAACCACCATGACATTTTTTGCGATGTTATTTTGTTATTTAAGATGTTATATAGTTTATGCTCTGTTCATATTTTAGTACATACTTTGAACAGATCACAAATATCCGTTGGCTTGCATGGGTTACGCATGTTCATACGCGCATCTGTCCTCATGCCACAAGACAAGACGTCCTTAAATGGGACCAGCACTGCGTGCACTGGCCACACGGGGCCACTGGCAGCGACGCTGCAGCAGCCGAGATCAAAGCAGCACATAATCACTCGGAAGGCTGCGCTCCAAGACACGATGGACAGCGGTCAGCAGCCGCATCCTCACCCACCATCGCGTGCGTGTCGCTTGCAGAACCGACGTGCTTGACACGAATCAAGAAGGCGCTCACCTGAGCACTGTGCTCGCACATTGTTCGCCGCACACACGTTCACAGAAGAACAACGGGATGCGGCAGGGGAAGTTAACGGACAGGGCAGCGCGACACCAGCGCTCGGAGGCGTTCTCCTACCACGAAGACGCGGCGATTAATCGACCAGAACCGATCGGCCACTCGTCTAAGTGGAGCAAATATGACCCGGGCGAATCGGGCCACCCATTGTTGTCCTTTCAAGGGCGCCTGAGCGTGGCGGCGAAACTTCCGCGTCTCGCGCCCGCCGTCGAGGCGACCTCCGCACCCGACCATCACCCGGAGGGACGCGCTACGGCTTAAGTGCCCCGCCGCGGATTCCTGGCGATGTACGCAACGTTGCACCGGATGATGGGCCGTCCCCGAGTGCTCCCGTGCGCGCCCTTTGTTCGCCGCCAGAGCGACGTGCCCGCGCACGTGTTCCGCTGTATAGCCAAGCAATGCACAGCCAAAAGCGCGGGAACACGGTAAACGGACCTCTGGCACGGTTCACGCTTGTGCTGCTCTCCTGCGGCGCGAGGTGTTCCGCGCGGCTGTAGGAAATCACACGTGGGGCCGTCTCCACTATGAGGGCTCACGAAAACGACAAAAATACTCTTTTCTTAGTGTTTCGCGATAGTATCGCATAGATAATTTCGAGTATTTATATTTCTCTATTGAGATACATTTGAAAAATGCATTTGTAACTCAGTAGTGAAATACTTTTGCGACGTATCCACTGCATCACGATAATGCGCAGGACACCAGTATGTCGCTGGTGAATTTTTATTCAGAATTCAGTTGATGTGTTTTGAAGCGGCAAACGTAGGCTTTTCTCAGTTAAGCCAAGCGAAGGCACATTGTCATTCGGTGACACAGAAAGATCGCCGAAGGGTTCCCTACACGAACAGAACGATGGATGCATGTGTTAAAGTGTCTGACGCGGCGAACGGTAGAATTTAGGTGGTTGTGCAGATGAAAGCAGATTTCTTTCAAGGCCGGTGCCACAACAATTTAAAAGCGAAGCATTTTCTAGTGAACTTCGTCGACTTTAAGCGTATCTATCTATCTATCTATCTATCTATCTATCTATCTATCTATCTATCTATCTATCTATCTATCTATCTATCTATCTATCTATCTATCTATCTATCTATCTATCTATCTATCTATCTATCTATCTATCTATCTATCTATCTATCTATCTATCTATCTATCTATCTTTGGAATGTATAACAAAATTGGTATCGCTTAACATAACTGTATGACGAGCATAAATGACTAGTCATAACATGAAAATCATAACACGTATGTCATGAATGTCATGATTTACATGTCATGGTCGTGCTGATCTAGCAGTTGTTTGGTTCACATGAAATATTTTAAAACTGGTATGCTTTCACACGACTGCATGGCGAACATAAGTGACAAAACCTGACGTGGAAATCATCCCATACATGGCATGTAAGTCATGACTACACGCCTAGCTCATGGGGCACCCGTGGTCGTTTCGCGAGCTTCACATGTACCAAGTTTGGTATTACGTAACGTGAATGGACGACGAAGGTATATGACTGGTGCAAACATGATAATCATGACATGCGTGTCATGTAAAAACATGACTTCATACAACGCTCACGACGCGCTCGCGGCCCGTTTCGCAAGCTTCACATACACCAAATTTGGTATTACGTAACGTGAATGGACGACGAACACAAATGCAAACGCAAACATGACAATCACGACATGGAAGTCATGTACGGCATAATTTACATGCCTACCACTGTGGGTGCTGGTATTGCAAACCTTTGAAATGTCATCGTTTCGCGACTACAAACAACATACTTGCGTCTTATCTAGATACGTGAGTGCGCAAACATTTCTAATTGTGTTTGTGGCGTAATACGTGCGTCCGTACCGCAAAGTTGTGTTGATTTTAAAAGGACATATCAAACTTCCTCATTCGTGCTTCGCATATCATCGATTTCTACTGTACGTGGGATCTGCTTTTTTTTTTTTGTAAGAACTTTTTAATCTAACTGAAAAAAAAAAAGACTGAAGGAAAGAGATATCGTGCTAACTTACATCGTTGGGACAAAGATCGGCAGGTGGCACCTTCAAGTCGTGTACAACGGTCGGGAGACGGATGGACATTTTAATAAAGTGTGTAAAAGTCAGATAACCATTTTTGGCGGGGCTTGCTGAAAGAAATTTTGAAGGTGAGTTGAGATGACGTGCAAGGTATTCACTCGGTTTTTGTATCATATTCAAATCTTTTTGGCTAGAGAGTTGGTCATGTACATCCCCGTGTACATCAATGTTAGCAAGTGAGCATACATTTCGGCATCAGAGCCATTCACATAGGTATTCATGGCACCGTCAGCAGCACCCGCAGCAGTCAGCTAAGAAGGTCTCCCAGTGATTTCAAAAGTTAATTCAAATGTACCCGAATTACACTCTCGCTGTTCTGTTCGTGGGTGTCTGGTGTAAGTCTGTTGTTAATAGTAAAATAAAAAGCACCCCTCCCCCTCGACTACTTAGGGCCATAATTTGAGAGCCTCTCAAAGCATGGCCTTGAGAGGCTGTCAACGCCAGCGCTGTTTCTCGCCTATACAAACTTGAGCTACGTCGGGCAACCAATAATTCCCAGATTAATACAATTTATAATACGCCTTTCTAGCTCTTTCGTACTCCGTATGCACCACGCTCGGTTCTCTCAAGTAATGCTTGTAGCTACTAACGGTAACAGGCTTTCAATGATATTCAAGGCCGCCAAAGACATAAGAAAGAATAAAACTGGTACAACGTGGTAAGACAGGTTCGTGTGTCACGCGCGCAATGACTCGGTAGCGGAAACTAAATCGGCTCATCTTCACCGACCTGGTCTTCCCAGAGGGCATTTCTCAACGACAAAAAACAGGACTTCTTTTTTTTTCAATTATTCGTCTCCACTTCAATTCTCTCCCGCTCTTTTTTTTTTTTTTTGCTTGTGGAGGGAGTTGCCACGTTTAAGTTTCTTAGGCCGAGTGCAGGCACCGGTCTGTGTTTTTCCGTATTCCTGTAAATCCGCGATCATCTTTCCTAGCAGGCGCCAGGAGGGAGGACACGAGCTTAAAACCGTTTGCAAAAAAAGTAGCTGTAGTACACTAATCAGGTCCCATGGAGGGGAACCACAACTCTCATTTTCAGCTGCTGTTTTGGCGGAAACTGTTGATTGATATGTGGGGTTTAACGTCCCAAA